CCTAGGTGGAGGTGCTTGGTGCCAGCAACTGGGTTCTCCTTCTCGTGGACAGTGTTCCTGGTTCTAGACACTGCCCTCAACTGCACACAAAGTGGGGACAGCTGGGAGGAGAAGGCGTYATGGTAATTGGGTCAAGGGTTGGGATTCAAAGCTGCCAACCCATTTCAGTGTTATCTGAACTCAGCTTTCATGCAGATTCCTGTTTCACTGCTCATAGCACTTTAAAAAGGAGACAAAGACACTGGAATCTTTGTTTCATATTTTCATATAAGAGTTGGTGCTAAATTCACCAGTTATGGTCTGTGGAAATTCCCCAAAAAAAGCCACAAAAGGAAGGCAAAGGAATAGCTTCTTCCTTTACAGCTTTATTGGCTTATAGGGCTATGAACTTGCAAACATTCACATTTTTTCCTTAAAGTTTTATCAGTGTATTCTGCAAAAGCTACTAAAAATACTCTCATGTCCTCAGAGGCAGAGTCCTATGCAAATGTGGAAAGAAAGGTGKTTCTTTTGGTCTGAACATGGCCCTCTGTGATCTCTGTAGCTTTTTCCAGATATGGAAATTTTTATTACATTGGGACATTTTCATTCGCTGAATAGAAACAATAGCTTAAGAGAAATGCCTGACCTAAATGTCTGCCAAAGTCTGAGGCTAATTGTCAAATTGTCACCTTCTCATGATCATGGAAACTTCATCCGGTGAACAGTAGTTGAGATTTTTGGAGGTGCTTTCCATCAGCAGTAAAAGGCAAAGGCTCCCTACCCACCCACTATGCACCCAGACCAGGCTGCAGAGATTCTGGTCTCCTCTCTGAACTTAAGGTATCTACTTGATATCAACAGCAAATGGTGCTTGTGAGAATCTGATAAGATGATTGTGTAAAATGACTTTCACAGTGCCTGGTATATGATAAAAACTCACTAGCTGGTGGGTTTTGTTATTATTATTATTGTTATTTTTACCTTTGTAAGGAAACAGAGGCAGGAGAAGGCATGGGCTCTGGAGTCACAGAACTGGGTTCCCACCCTGCTTTCCTCTTTAGAGCTGTGTGCTCTTGGGTGGACTTTCTAGCTGTAGTTTTTTTCATCTGTTTAATGGGGATAAAGATATTTACTTCAGGGCATTGGTGAGTTTTATAAATGGAATGATATTATGTGGGATAAAGGGTCAACACTTTTTAAAAAATATTTTCTTAGTTGTCCATGGACTTTATTTATTTGTTTGTTTGTTTATATGCAGTGCTGAGAATTGAACCCAGTGCCTCACACATSCTAGGCAAGCACTTGACCACTGAACCACAACCCCAGCCCAAGCAATAGCACTTTGAAGAATAACCCATTCTCTAAATCTGATGTCTAAGTACATTTGCCTCAGAGGAGAGAAGATTGAGAAATCGCAAAAATACCAAGAAGGCACCAGATTGAAGGCATCAGGGGACTTGAGTTCATCCACCTGGATGACTATCCCTGGATAATCAGCTCCTGGTGATCCAGCGGTGACTTCCCATTTCCTTGGACATGCGCAGCTGAGCATCACAGAGAGGGCAGGAACTGTGGAGCCAGACCTGAGTTTAAATTCCCCACTCAACCACTATGTGTAGGCAGACGTGGAGGTTTATCCAAACTTCCTGAGGCTCAGTCTCCTCACCTGTACACTGGGGAYAGAAATCCTTCTCCTGGGAGTGGCTGGAGAGATCCTAGCAGAGGAGCCGGTGGAGAGAGATGCTCAGGAAGTTGGTGCTATTTCTTCACACGGGCACAGCCCTGGTGTCCACAGATTCTGAGCGCCTGGGTACTCACCATCCACAGGAGACGTGGATAAGAYGCCACAGTGTCTCAATCTCCTGAGTCTTGACTGCAGCCATGATTGCTCTGTCCTCAGACTCCGCATCTTGCTGTAAGTTCCCACTGTTCTTGAGGTCAGTTCCTGCTGTTCTTCAGGTCAGTTCCACAGCCTATAGTTCTGTGTGTTTCTTCATCTTCTGTMGTTCTCCACCTTTGAGACTCCTCTTTCACTTTATTTTGCACCATCTTAGGACTGYGCTCTGCCACCAACTTTGTAGTTATGCTCTTCTCAAGGATGGCTTCATTTCATCCTTTAGGTTATCCCTACAAAAGAGCTTGGGTTCTCTGTCAACCCCTTACTTCTACTCTCAAAATACTATTTCTTTTAACCATTATCAGTTTTAATTATATATATTTATATATTATAATTATATATATATGCACATATACATATATATGATATATGTATAYATACATATATACACACACACAGTTGTTTTTATGTGTCTCTCTCATTAGATCATAAGCTCCACAAGACACAGTCACTATCTGAGTTAGTTGTAACTGAATGTCAGAAAGGTTTTCAATGCATCTTGGATGGATGAATGAATATTAACCCCTACATCTTCATTTGAGGTTTGAAAATACAATCTCTATGGGCAAAAAAAAAACCCTTTGTAAACCATTTGAGCTTATTAGAAGCTGCTCTGCAACCTTATTTTRAGTAATTAAGCCCAGTTCTATTTGATTATAAGAAAATTACTAGTCGAAAAACAACTTCCATGAGAACAAGCTGGAATAGATGCTTCAGATGGGGCAAAAAATGAGGGTTTTCTTTTCCGTATCCAGAAGGGGAAATGAACCTACTTCTTAAAAATAGTTAGCTGGCTTTTAGGCCATAATTATTTCTGTCTGATTTGAGAAAGATGAGCCCTGCTATGCCTTGTCCCTGTTTCTCTGTCCAAGCAAACCGATTAACAACTGCCATAAACATGGGTTTCAAGTACTGGGAGGATCAAATAACTCCCAGATAAACGCTTGCAAGAATGTTATCATTCAGCTAAACGTTTGGAGACTGAAGTCTCAAATTATTTTTCTTCCCTTTTTGGGACACTGTTTTGCTCAACTTCTAACACATCCTTGGAGTTATTTCTGTTTGGGAATGAGGGGAGTTTTACAAACATCCGGGGCTCATGTTGAATATGAGAGAGCTGTTAAGATAAAATATTCAAGGACAACACTGATTTACGCAGATAAAAAGAATCTAATTTTTTTTGGTAGGAACAAACTCTTGAATGTTAAGCACATGGCTCATAAAAAATCTTAGAGATTAAAAAATGTATAAAAAGATGTATCCCTATCATCTGAAGGTAGGTCTACTGTTGTCACTACCTGATACTGCATCTGGTGTCGCCAACCTTCTTCCTATGTATGTAGACACTGCCGATAACCTTCTCCTAAAATATCGTTTGTTGCATGTTAAAAATGTTCCATTACTTTATGAAGGACTAGAAGAGAGGCACTCAAAGGCTCCAGACACAAAGGAATGATATGGAGATAGAAATGCTAATTATGCTGATTTGATCAAAGCATGTTATATACGCGTATTGAAATACCACACTGTACCCCATAAATAAGTACAACTATTACATATAAAGAGGAAAGAAAAATAAAATTTAAGGCTTTTGCAAGTGTGTTCCAATCCAATCAATGTCCAGRTTCCATTATTCCTGAAACATTCCTGCTAGACAGTCAGGTATTATCATTATTGCCTCCTGAAGATGCCTGCTCTTTTCCAGCCTCCAGGAAAGAGGCAGAGGTCATGCCATCTCCCCTCTGGTGCCACCCACCAACACCCCACTGAGCTTTCAGTGAGCTAGGTCTGCCCTACTCTCTCATGAAGACTCCCACCAGAATAATCTACCTCTGAGCTTCTAGAGGATTCRTGGTCAGCCCCAAGTCCTGCTGTTAATCATATTTTGTATTGTTGGGTTGTTCTTTTATATGTATTTTAGCTCTTGGTACTTATATAACCAAGTGTGTTAACCCTATAAATTATTTGGAGCAAAACGCATAACTGGACCCATATTGGACCTGATTCTTTTCTATGCTTTCCATAATTTCCACTTTCTGGCTAAGGTAGTTTGGGTTTTTGTTCCTGGCCAAYCACCACATCTTGAATAGGAAAACCATCATTTGTACACATTTAAGATAAAAATTTCCAACCTAAAATGGAATTATTTTGCACAGTTCTGAAAACTTATGGTCACATATATCAATGTTCTAAAAGTATACCCTGTGCACTTATTCTTTAAAAATGAGACTTAAAATATGCAGATTCCTTGAATAAACCACCACTGACAGCAATAGAATCTCTGGGAATAGGGCCTAGGAATTGATATTAATTCTCATGTGATTTTTATGCACATTCAAGAAAGCTTAGAGGATCATATAATGATAGGAAATGGGAGAAAAAATTATTCCTGTGTCTTGAGTACCTATTATGTGCATGGAGAAATATTAGATATGTCACCAATAATGTTAAAATCCTCCAGCAAGACTATAATGTCAGTTTAAACATCAGCCCCTTTTTTACAAATAAGAAAACAAATATCCAAGGATCTACAAGTGGTGAGTGCCTGGGTCAGCACTGAGACTCTGGACTGACCAGCTCCCAAATTCTTTCCTCTTGTTCTGCGGTCCACTCTGCTCAAGCTCCTAGCAACCCTTGGAGGCAAAGCAACACTGGTGGCTTCCAAGGTTGCTTGGGGGGGGGCAGATCTTCAGGCCCCAGCTAATGACCCCTAGATGAAGATCCACTTAAGATATCTTACGAGGACAGTGATCCTCTGGGATCTGAATTTGCATCCTGGAGCCCTAATTGGGAGCCTGGTGAGTTTCCCCTTATGACCGCAGCATACTTGTCTGGTCACAACCTAAAGGTAGAGGCTGTAGCACCTCTGAACATCATTATAGTTGCAGCATACACACTGGCCTGCCAGCTGAGGGTGTAAAGACCAGCACAAGAGAAAGGAAAGAAACATGCACAAAAGGCCAAAGAAAGATCTGGGACATAGTAGACCCAAAGATAATACGGGGGAATGTTTTCTCTAGCAGAAAAACACCAGCCTCAGAAAGAGGGGACAGGGGTATTTGTTGCAGACTGGAGATAGAATGTGCATGCACATCCACCTCAGAAGAAGACCTTTACTCACGGAGTGTATGATGCCCTGCAGCGCCTGGAAGCCATCATTCACTGGAAACACATGATCCTTACTGTCCGCAATCCGGGCCAGCTGAGAACACAGAAAACACACGAATCACATGGAGCCATGTCAGGAGAAAACGTGGAGAATTTAGGAAAGCTACTGGGTCGAGGGGCCCCATCTACTTCTAGAACCTGGAGGAATGTGAGGCCCTCAGTGGGCTCCGGGGCATCTCTGAAGAGCCTTCAGCAGTAATGAGCTTACCAGGAGCCCCTCTGGAGCAAGACTGAGGGGCAGCTCCAGCCTTTACATTTGTTTTAATACTTTTCTCCTTGGGAGCAGAGGTAAGATTGTCCAGATGGATGAACATTTGGCCTGGGTTGATATATTTATGGATTTGGGGATATGCCATTGGCTCATTTTTCTCCCATTCACCCAAATTCCTGCTGGCGACTTTATTTGAATCAAGCAGACTCAAGTTTCCTTTCAGAGCAACTTTCAAAATAGATTCAGGCTTTGGTGTTGGGTTAGGTCAATGAATGTGGACCCCTGAATTTCACTGAAACTTTTGACAAAGGAATGGACCACTGTATTTTTTTAATAGCAAAAACTTTAACTGCTCCTGCTTTATGGGGCAGAAGACAGAGGGCAAGGAGAAGTTGATCTGAGAGCTTTATCCCAACCTCCATCTTTGTATAGTCTGGGGAGGGCCCCAGTCAGATTCAGTGCTGGCAGGCATGGTTTTAAAAATAGCTCTTACTGTTTTTACCAATTGCAAAAATAACACATACTCATTGTGAAAACTTAGAAAAAACCAAGAGAGTTAACATAAAAAGAAAATAAAAGTTACTCAAAATTCTTCTATGTCTACCTATATTTTTCTATCTATATCTATCTTTATCAACAATTATATAAACATACATATATAGCTGTTCATACCTTCTCAGTGCAAATGCATACAAATTTATTCTAAAAGTAGCACTTACTATTATCTTCTTTGTAATTCTGTTTTATTTTCTTAATAATCATAAGCATTTACTTATGCCATTATAACAAAAAGAAATCAGGAACAATGTTGAGGAGGACTTATTTCAGTCATTAGCAAGTTTTCATGATTGACTGATATGTACTTGGGCATCTTTTGGCCCACTGGTCCAATTATTTCTATATTTTTGTATTGACCATGCATTGTATTTTTTATAGCAAAAAAAAAAGGTTGTCATTTTAATTATTCTAAAAAAGGGTTTTAAGTTAATTCAGATCTGTTTTAACACCTTGGCAATTTAATGTTCATCAAGAAAGCCAACCAAGAAAGATGCTGCTTAAATGGTTCATGTTGAAGACCCCAAGTGTTTCAAAAAGTGATTTCACATTCTTTACACATCCAATAATTCTTTCCTGCTTAGCATTTGTGGAAAAATAACCTATCTAAGGCATATCTTTCTTGGCGATGCACCCTCTATACTGAATATATGTTCTCTATGAGTCACAAGGTCAGTATGTTCCCACATCTGAGGAAATTCATGAACGTACCTGTGTTTCATTGAAATCTTTGACACCAACACAGTAAACAATTGCACCCAGATCTCGGGATCTGTTAGCCTGGGATAGGGAAACAAAAGACATTAGAAAGAGAAGCAATGGCAAGAATACTCCTCTTGGATWTGTCAGACTAGATTCAACAATTAGGTATTTATTGAGCACCTATGCCAGGCACTGGAGAAACGATCTCTGTCCCCAAGAGCTCCCACTCCAGGGAACATCACATTCTAACCTAATGCAAGTAGACCAGGGGGAGTGATAACTCCAGCAAGAGGTGTTGAGAAAGATCTTCTGAAGTGGAGTCTTGATGAAGGGGTTTGAAAGGCAAGAGGAAGAAAGGGAAAGTGCAGGCTAAGACAAGTCATATTAAATATTCTGGGGAAAGAGCATCTTTCCATTCTTTAACAGATTTTTTTGGACACATTTTTCTTTGTAATGGCAGCATAGTATCATAAGAGAATGTGACCTTTGGAACCAGATATATCYGAGTTTGATGGTTGACTTTACTCTTTGTAAAGTGGTTTGGGGGTTAAATGAGATAATACAAGCGGAGCTTGTTTCAGAAGGCCTAGAACAATACAGATTCTTGCATATGTCAGGATTCCCTATGAATAAGGCTTTTTTCATTTCTATAAAATAAATCAGTTTAATGGTAGGTCTATATTTGAATAAGTGAACCCAATTCATTATGTTGTGTTCTCAATAACTAATCATTGAAAGGGCAACATAAGGGCTGGGGTTGTGGCTCAGCGGTAGAGCACTTGCCTAGCATGTGCGAGGCCCTGGGTTCGATCCTCAGCACCACATAAAAATAAATAAAATAAAGGTATTGTATCCAACTACAACAAAAAARTAAATATTTTTTTTTWAAAGAAAGGGCAACATAATGAATARSATTTGGGTTTGGGCTTGATTTTAATATTTGGCTTATTAAAGGCTATGATATTTGATTTCCAGGTTCTCCCATGTTTCAGAACAGAAAACAAAAATTGGAAATCCTTGGCTTATACAGTAGGTACTCAGTGAGTAATCAATAGTGAGCATATAGTAAGTGCTCAATAATATGTGCTTGTTGATTTGAATTGTGTTATCCTCCTTCCCTCTCCCAATACTCCAACCTACTTGTGTCTGACACTGAATTCTAGAAGTAATAGAAACATCTCTTTTTAAAACTCATGTTAGAAACATTCCCTGTGGCTTTCAGGATAAAATAAATGTTTAGATTTAGTCTAGCTCCCACCTTATCTGCAATAACTCTGACTGCTCTCCTTTAGCTGGGCTTTCTATAGAATTATCAAGAATGGGAAAGCTTAATTTCTTTATATCTTCTTGAGCTTTATCTTTTTGGTAAAGCTTTCTTCTATTGGCATTGGCATTCCAAATATTTTTCSAAGTCTGTATGTGCCATACCTAAAATGCCTTTCTACTAACCCCTATTTTAAGCCACTGACACTCATTATTTATTTTCTTTTTAGCTCTTCCCTTATGAGGGTTTTTACTTTATTTGGCTATTATTTCTGCATTCCCATCACATAGTTTTGACCTTAGAATATATAGAAATGTATCATTTCCCAAATACTCAGGGGTGTCCGTCACATGAACTTGTGTCTTTCCCCATGCTGAGCCATCCTCTGTTCCAGTGGGAGGAGGGAGATAATGAAGCCAAACTCTATTTTACGGTGAGACCCCTGAGGGCAACAACAGCATCTTGCTTACCAGTGTCTCTTGTGTCTAGACAAGAGCTCAACACATGCCAAGCTCTGAGTGAACGAACGAGTGCATACTTCATACTTGCAGAGGGAGCTAAAATTAAACTAAATCGTAGTGGAGAGCTTGAGGCAAGTGTAATACTATGACAAAATCCTTTCCCAAACCCAGCAGTTCTCTCCCCCACTACATTGTCCTTTCCTGTGTTTCTTTCTACCTTGGCCTGAGTGAGCCTGTGACATTAATGAGGCTTCATTCAGTACATTCCCACAGCTAACATGTTTCCTTAGCCTATACAGAGAGTTCAAGTCCAAAACATGGATGAAAGGCATTTCCTAAGTGTAAATACAACTTTATAATTCCTGAGTAAACCTTTTTTTTTTTTAAGTTTAATGGAAGCTTCATTTAGAGAATTCCTTCACTTGCTTTGAAGAGTATTTTGAGAAGATAATCAAGGAAAAGAAGAAATACAGAAGGAGAGAATACAATGAAATCTGTCACCAATTATTGTTTAACTTTGGCTCTTGGAGTGACAATCTTAAAGGTTAGCATATGTGGACAAGATTGGCTTTTACAWATTTTGAGCAATTCTTTCTCTTCCTCCTGTTTTAGAAGAAAATATGAGGAAAAAAATGGTACCTTTTTTTTTTGCTTAAAAGTATGTCAAATAGTATGTCAAAACTGCTAAAGCAATACGATGCCTTTAATAAAGGCACAATAGATATTTTTTTTTATCCCTCTAAGCACAAAGCAATATGCAAAATTTTGCAAGAGGAAAAACATCCACCATGTGAAACACATAAAACTTCACTTTAAAAATGAATTATTATGATCGTTTTTACATCTGAAACTATTTCATTCAGGGGTTTTACTGAGAAAATCTATCACTTTGCCTGAGTAAAGAGGCTCATCTCACAGAGTGCAGCCCATTTCAAAGACAAGCCCTGCTTCAACATTTTTGTTTGTTTTATTGGGATGCTGCAGATTGAACCYGGGGCCTCGCACATGGTAAGCACACGCTCTACCACCGAGATACCTCCCTGCCCCCAGATATGTGGTTAGACAAGGCTGGACCATTACTTACCTCCCTCTCTGAATAGAAAAAGAGATCTTCATGGAGTTCCCCATCAGTCAAAGCAATGATGACGCTTGCCGTCCTGTACCCTGCTCAAAACAAYACAGACCAACTTAGTCATCCTGCCCCCTGGGAAACCCACTCTTAGCCCTGGCATTTGATCTCTTATCATCTCAACCACCTGGAAGTCAATATTGTGAGAAACACTAGCCTTTCTTTTGGGACTGGGAAGCAATTCCAGGTTGGAGAAAACTTCGTCAGAATAGCCTCAAGGAGGCATAAATTTGGTTTCCGTGTTTCTCAGTCCCATCTCTCCAAATAGTCAGACTTGGTGAAATGGTCACTGAATYAATAACTGGCAAGAGCACCAGTGAACCATGGGTGATTACTTTTTTGTTAGCCATGCACATGATTGTCACCCAGGCCTCTACCACCGGGCTTACTGGTCCCTCTCACGTGCTGTAGTTGACCACATACACCATCCCTTGAACACCGTTTGGCAAAAAGTAATGGGTATCATGATTCACAGGCTGACTGGAAGYGGTATGGCAGCTGGCAAAACTTATTAGAATTCTTTCAGTGTTATTGAGACTTCTAGTAACAATGCTCATAGTTGATTTATACCAGCAAGTTTTGGTGTTCATTCTGGGTCCCTTCATTTTGTTGCAGTTTAAAGTCAAACAGGAAGTGGATACTTCTACAGGCCTAACAGGAAAAATCCCCACTACAATATTGATTCTTTTTAAAGAGATTTGCTTGAGATAAACAAAGCCTACCCATGAAAGACACTGTAGTTGTAATAGCTCAAATGATTAAAAATTTTGTCAGTATTTGTATTGCTAGTCACTCTACTCTACTAAGTATATTTTAAGCATTTTTTACCTAAATGAAGAAATGTTTAAACCAAACTAGAAATCTTGATCTTAATATATTCAATCAAATTAATGAAGAGGCTTGGAGCTCAGAGAAACATAAGGTAACAAGATTTGACATTAAAAACCCAAGACTTTACTAATCCATCCAAGCATTTACTASTTTAATGAACTCAACATGCAAAATTATTCACAGGAATTAAAGACTGTGGTCATAATGGGATCYTAATTATTTTTATGTAACTCTTATTTTTATGTAACCCAGGACAGTAGAATTTGATCAGGAACGTGCCATTTTCTATGCATTCTTTTTTTGGTAATGGAGTGTGTTTAAGGATCATAAACAATATCATCCATGTCTTTTGAAACATAAAATTACTGAGGCATTTTTTTTTAGAAACAAACACAGAATTTTTAAAAATATATCTTTATTTATTTATTTTTATGTGATGCTGAGGATTGAACCCAGGGTCTCACACCTGTGAGGCAAGTGTTCTACCACTTAGCTATAGCCCCAGCTCTAAATATTTCTTAATGGTAATTTATACCACAATCTTACCTTGACTGTTTTCATAATAAATCTGCTCACTGGCCTGAAAAATACATGAACAAGCCATTAGACCTACAACCACTATTTGTCACTCTGAATACCATTTTGGGTGATAGGCTGTGGGCTGGCTATGCAGGCCTGGGCCCAGTCTTGATTCCTTGTGTAATTCACCCAGATATCAATGGGTAATATTCATGTAAAGTTCCTCTAAATCTTAAGCGATACAGTTGTAATCATGGGTCAGTGTCTTACTTCTCAGAGTCTAGACTTGTACATTGCTAGACAGCAGGAAAATCCCACCTATGATACTGATTTGCTTGAGATAACAAAAGGCTTTAATGTCCCTTAAAGACACTGAAATTCTCTCTCAGTCACGATTGCTGCCTTCCAACTAAGATCCCTTTAGGAATTAGGGGACTTGGGTGTAGCATGAGTCATGAGCCACATCAATCATTAGTTAACAAGGCCTTTATCAGTGTCAGCAAAAGAGGAAAGAAATTCATTTCCTTAGTTGTTTTGGATATAGTTAACTAGTGCAGGGAGAAAAATTGTACCATCTTGCCATTGGTTGTTATTCGGTCGCCTGAAAACATGTGCTTTATCTCATCAGTCATCCCTATGTTGACATTTCAACATCACACTTTATGCCTGGGGTTTAAAATGGTTTTAAAATTACCCTTTCAAATCCTTCATGCATGTAAGTGTCTCCTCCTGGCAGAACCTTCTGGAGTTCTTCTAGGCCTTGACGGATCTGTTCCCTGAAATCCAAAGATATCCAGTTAGTCTTCTAACAATACTGCTTACTTTGCTGTTGAAAGTCTTATGTGCTGGTCATCTTATTTCTGTGGCCTCTGCTGTATCGCCCCCAAAGTCTCGCTAAAACCATCGAGGGAAAGTCTTTATATTACATCATCCATTTAGGATTGGCCAGAGCAYAGGATGAGTGAGATTTCAAGGGCTGAGGGAAGGGTCCCTTCAACAGGAAATTCTGTTTGCTCATGAAAGGTTTCCCTCCCCATAACAGGGACAAAGTTTTCATTTGGTGCTAGAAATGAGTCTTAAAACACAACTGCTCCAGAGGGGACCCRACAATGTCTGCAAGGGCAAGTAGCTCATGTGAACCAGATAAAAAGCATGTACCAGGCAGCCTGAGGAAGGCCACGGCAAGGCCACAGGCAGGAGGGAGAGGCATCCAGAGCAAACTCTGCCACATGCCCTGCTGCGCCAAAGGAAACCATGCAGTCAGCTTTGAAAATAAAGACCTGAGGAATCTATGCTTTCCAGGATGACCAAGAGTGTTTTCTGTGGGCTGGTGCCTGTGTTTTCTTACTCTGGTCCTTCAAGGTGACGGTGGGGGCAGGAGGAGGAAGTGGGACATGGCATGGGAAAGAGTGGGACTGGTACTGGAAAACATGAGTGGTTGCAGACCATTCTCCCTGGAGCATAAGATGCCCACATTCATATCCCTGGCTTTTAAATCGCTCCACATTGTGCCCCAAATGGCCAGAGAGTGTAATTTATGAAAAAAAAATCATAACCTTGTTCATAAACTGTAAGCCTAAGAAAGGGTTTGAAATTGCCTTCCTCCCACTGAGGGCTCTTTAGTGGCAGAGGTAGAGATGCAGTATTTAAATTAGGAAGGGAAGCTCCTTCTGGGTAGGAAAATAACCTAGCATTTATTGAGCATGTGCTATATTCAAAGCACTGCTCAAAGAGTTCTGACTCCACCTTGTGATAACCTCTGAAGGTGGGGATTTCTGTATCCAAGGTGGGTGAGAAAGCCTGAGCTTTCTCAGGTTCAGGAGGAGAACAGAGACTTGAAGTCAAACCTGTCTGACCCCCAAAAGACTTAAAATTACTGTATGAAGCATTATGCCAGAATGGAACAGTGTTGGAGAAGCAGGCGGCTCTCAATAACATCTAAAATCAACCTCATATGAAGAGCAATGGTCTTTTCTAACATCAACTGGGTATTTATGATGTTTCAGGCTCTGTTCTAAACACCTGGAATGTAATTCATCTACTTAAGCACAGAACAGTTCTTTGAAGTAGATATCACTGTAACCTCCATTTCCCAGATAAGGAAACTGCATCAGAGAGAGAGGTTAAGAAATTTGTCCAAGGCCTCTCAGCTCACCAGTGGCAGACAGAGGTGGGATTTAATCCCAGAGGTGCTACTCTCAATTGGTGTGAAAAACTCTATCTTGAATGAATGAATGAATGAATGAATGAATGAAACATTACAGTTCATCCTGGTAATGCTTGGGGAGAAATTCCAATGAAAAATCAACCTCATGTGAAAACAGATGTGATGGGTAGCTGCAGGTGAGGCTGGATCACCTGGCTGGTAGAGATTTTAAAAGACAGACCGAAAAGGCCTTAGCTGAGGCCTGTCCCTAGGCTGCAGATCCTTCTCTGGTGGAATATTTAAGATGACTTCACTCAGACTTGCGGAAACGTACTGATTGTTGTCTGTTATCTTATCAGTGCTCAGATATTGAACCACATTCCCAGCTGCCCCAGTCAGAACTGGAAGGCTTCCTTGAACCTCTAGGCAGACTCTTTCTTATTCTCCAACATTCGCCGGCAGCACATTCTGTTGTTCTACTGCAAACATATCTAGACCATGGATTGCTTCTCTATCTCTTCTGACAACAACATGGTCTGGGGCATTGTCATCTCATGCTTAGATCACTGGGACTTGCCCTCTTGTCCCCTTTAAAATACACATGGAGTCTTTCTAAAACACACACACCAACTCATGCCATTCCCTCCCTTACTCAAAATACTTCAGTAATGGTCCATTGTATTTAGGAGCTCTTCCCAAATCCTTCACGGGGCCTTGCAATGTCTACATGGGATGTTTCCTGCCTCCCTGCCCACCCTCATCTTGTACCCCTTTGCCCCTAATTCCTTCAGTCACTTTGCTCTTCCCAGGCTCCTTTCTCTGACAGATCCTTCACATCAGCAATCACTGCTGCCCGAGAAGCAGTTTATAGGGCTACTTATTTTCTCTGTGATGATGGGAATCAAACCGTAGGCAAGCACTGAGCTACTCTGCCAGCCCCATAGGGCTAATTCTTACCCAAATTTCAGTTCCAGCTTAAATGTCAATTTTTCAAGGTAGCCTTCCCCAATCTAAATTATCTCCCTCTATTAGACGTTCTCATGGGATCCCATAACTTTTCACTTTATGACACTTTGAACATTTTATAACCAATAATATTTAAGTAGGTAATTATTTGTACAGTGTTTTCCCCTCCTAGTTTTAGACTTTAAACCCYATCAGAGCTGGACCATGTACATTTGGGTCCCGACTATAGCTTGTGGGTCCACTGGAGTGCCTGAAACAAAGTAGACGTTCAACAAATATTGAAGTGGTGGATGGAAGGAATGAACATCTCCATTGTTAATCACCCTGGGAAGAGGTCAATCTAGGGAAAGGGATGAACTTGACTTGGCCATGTGGAGGAAGGTCAAGCAGAAGCTGGCCTGGTAACTGGCATCAGGACAAATCTGGGTCCTTCCAATGGTTAAAAAGTTCTTTGTATTGTATTCATTATATTCTCTCCAATATTCCAATATAACCCAACAAAAAGCACAGTTAAATTTCAACTCTGTTATTTGGTAATGAGAAAGAGGAAACATCCCATGCAGCCTGAGGAGAGATAAAGAAGAGAGCTATGTCCTTCCCCAAGGCCATCGGGGGCGGAGTGTGGATGGCATGAGCAGTCATTTGGCAGAGGGCAGCCCTGTCCTGGCAATTCCACGAGGGTCTCAGCAGCAGAGGCAGTGACAAAGTGACATGAAAGTGAGTCTGGGATAGGAAAATCAGGGTCTGTTTCTGTTCCTAAGCACACAGCTGTAGCACCATAAAATCGTGAAGAACAGTGGGGGGCCCTACTAGAGAGAGGGGGGTAATTTCTGACAACTAGGTAGGAGAAGATTGGGCACTAAAAGTATATWTGACCTTATTCTTTGGCTATGGACTAGTGAGATCTGGGAGCATTTTGGTAACACTAAAACTGGAAGACCATGTTAAGACTGAAGTTTTTAAAAAGAGGATTAAAAAAAAAAAAAAGGCATATTGGGGGTGTGGAAAAGGTTCTTTGGCTTCACTATATTTTTTCCCTGCCAAATAAAGTCTGGGAACTGGGGTATTTTTCTCTAAGCCTATTTCCTTTCTTTTATAAGCATTTTCTTGAGCTTTCTTTCTTTCTTTTTTTTTTTTTTTTTGTACTAGAACAAGCAAAGGCTGTTTTGGAAAATGTCCTTATCCTTGATGCTTTGTGTCTGTTGAGATAGGAGCTCATGAACTGGGAGCAGCGATCACAACTTCCTGATATACCAGTTTCTTAAGAGATCCTGTAGCTCGTGGCCCCACCTCCTCACTCCCAGCCTGTTCTCTAAGCACCCACAACATTTAGACAAACAAAACAGATGGTTTCATGGGAATCGTAGGTCTGTTTTAATTCTGGGACACCAGAACTATTACTAAAGGTCTATTCTTTGCACTCTCTTAGAAACCAGAAAATTGGGAGAGAGATCTTTTAAAGGATGATAAGAACTTCTCTGAGAACTCAGTTATTTCCAGATGCAATGTTATCTTCCTGGGAAAGGAGACAGGCTGGAAATCCTAGGAGAGAAACTGCTATTAAAAGGTCTTAATTTTCCTTGGTGGTTTCACATGTCTGCCACTGTTGTTACTTAGGAGCTGAGGGTTTTCAGGCCACTGTCTTGTGTTTCTTTTGTGACTCCCACAACACTTAATAATGGGCACAGAGTTGGTGATTGCTAAAGAAATTATTCCATTTGGGGTACATCATTCGTTCACTGCCACTACTATGTTTCTGAGCACATATTATGCGCCAAGCATGCTTGTTTGTAGGGGTAGCAGATGGGGAGAATCAATCATACTATCTTCTGGACTTTTTTGTTGATCTGGGAATTTTTCTACATTTTAGGAAGATTATGTTCTGGGATTTGGGTTGTGCTGTAACATTTTGATAATATTTGTTGATGAAAGCCTTAACACATACATGCATGTCAAAAAGCACTTCAACAAGTATCCTACTGATACTCCCACTGCAAAAATCCCCCTTGGGCTTATGAAGCATTTAGTGTGTTTTTTCCCTAGAAAAACCACCTCCACTCTCACCCCCAAAATAACCCGACATCAGCTCTGCATTGTCAATGTTTTTTATCTCTTGTACAAGAATGTTCATGGACTTGGACTTTTCTGAAGTGCCTCACAGTTTTTGGCTTTGGAGTCTCAGCTTGTACAGTAAACAYAGGTTGATATTACCATTAACCCTCCTCTAACAATATTTCCAGATGGCCAATGGCTGCAGGCCCTTGATTGAAAATTAAAATGAGTGAACAGAATAGAAAACATAGATTAAAAACAAATTGCTGCTACTTTTGCAGTAATGAAGTTCTACAAACAAACATCCTTTTGTTTATAATTTATGTAAATCATAGTTTCTTTGGGGCTTTTATTAAGGATAGATAATTTGTGATAAGGTGCATGCTGAATCAAGCCTTTCTTTATATTTTTAAATGAGGTGTAATTTAAATATAGCATATATATGTACAGAGTTTGTTTTTCTACTTTATAATTGTTGAGTTCATTTCTATAAAGGTGTTCATGGTATTCCTTTATCTTCTACCATCTGTAGGATCTGTAGTAATAGCCTCCTTTCCCTTCTTGGTATTATTTGTGAATTGTATTTTCTATCCTGCTTTAGAAATCTAGGAA